CTGACGTCTAAAGCAAGACCTGACGTCAGCAACCCCCCGCCCAGAGCAATGGAAACGGCCCAGTCTCGTTCACGCCCCCTTTAGTCCTCCAGGCTACGCCCATTTAGAGGAAGATTTGAACAGGAAATGTGAGTGACGTAAGCTCCGAGGAGCGGGGGTAAGAACCACTTTAAGAAAAAAAAAAAAACACTCACACGCACACGCGCGCACACACACACACACACACACACACACACTCACGCACACGATACGAGCCTAAAATGTATCTAAGTACTAAGAGATCAAAGATAACTACACATTTAACGAACAGAGACATCCTGGTTTGGAGAACGTGAGTTAACGTGGTTAGGAGGAGCTGCGTGTCATTTGCCTATGAGCATCAACGCGCTCTGAACCAATGTGTGCCCCATTAAAAGCTTGTCTTGAAGTTTTAATGTTTATGACCTTGAATTTGCTTGCATCCATTTGAACAACTTAAATGATCATGGGGTGGCCTTGTGAATACACTGAACACAGCTCCATCAGCGTAAAGCCTAAACACGGATAAGCGCCATAGCACCACGCCGCCATGTTAGCCGCCATGTTAGCCACCTAGCTCCCATGCGGCGGCCCACATCACTCATCATTTCTCGGCCTAAACTCTACGTCCGTCCGCTCCAAACCCCTCGCCCAGGTCCCTAACAGCACCATAGACGCGCCAATGCCGGGTACAGACCAGGAACGGGATCCCTGGCCGAACTTTCGGGGGTGGCTCCAGTACAGCTGCTGATGGCCCATGGCGTCTGCTCGGCTCGTGCGAAGGAAAGAGCGAGCAGAGGAGGCGCATGCGCAGATAAGGACACGTGCTTCTAGGAGTCTGCGGGCAGATTCGGCTCAGGCAGGACTCAGTGCTGCCTCTCCCGGACCGATGGACAACTGTCAGCACATGCAGAGGGGGAAAAGTCCATTTCACTTTGAAAAGTAAAATTAGGCTCAAGAATATTACACTTCCAATTACCCATTAAGCCAAATAAGATTTATTTTAAATGTTTTTATTTGATTTATTTTAATACATTGTTTTAATTAGATGTTTTTGAATAAATTGTTTTATTTTGATTTATTTGATTAATTGGGCGTCTTTGTTTAGACTGCTGTCCCTGCAACCTGGCAACGGATGAAGCGGAAGGAAATGGAATGTTTAAAGCATTGACAACATGTTCCTTATTCCAGTAATTATAAAACACTAAACTAGTTGGTCAGCCAAACGAAAAATTCATATACATAAAATATCCTTGAGCGATCCTTTCTTAGATGATAAAGTCAATTTATTTTCATCCGAAATCTTGTATTGTTAAAGTCACATTTTGTAATATGTTATCTTTTGCATGCTTTAAGATAGAGCCGTGAGGCACTGGGTGGTACCGTGTGACAGAGGCCAAACATAAGCAACCTAATTATAGTTATTGTTATAGTTTGATGGATGTTATCATGACATATAGTTCTATTTTTGTGATTTGAAAGTTAGATGCTTCTCTCCCCAACAATAGCAACAAAAGACCAGCAGAGGGATCACTTGAGCAGCCTTACGTTCCACTGTGTTATATTTAAAATCCCAGGGTGAACTACGTTTTAAACATAAAAATAAATACATTTCTAAACATAATAATAATAATTGTAATAATAATAAAACCTCACAACACATTCATTCATTCATTCATTCATGTCAATTAATTAATTAATAAATTAATAAAATCTCAATTGCGAAATTACGCCCCTTCAACCCAAATTATTCACACATTTAAATCCTAGAGATTGTGGTGTAAATTTAAATATATTTACTTGATGACATACAGATTATTCACACTTTTGGCCAGAAAAGCTGAAATTTTCTACTTCCACCCATGCAGACAGATTGACTATAGGCAGTGTATACATCAGTTGCACATGGACCAATTCTTACACCTTTTTCGCTGTTTACTTAGGAATCTTAATCATCTGGAATACTCCTGGCAGTGTGTATTTGTTTTGATCATTTTCAGGCAAGAAATCTAGAAAACTCTTTGATCTTCTGCACTCCACCAAAGCAGTGTGTTAAAGACTGCCCACAAACACCAGTCTCATGCACTTTCTTTCTGAGGGATTTTTCTGTTGAGTTTGCTCCTGAAATTGCTGACTTATATTCTATTTAATTATTTAACTGTGTGTTTGTCCGCTGCAGGCTGTAAGCTGATCCAGAGCACAATGTTTTTGAGGCTGTCAGCTCAAAATAAGATATATGATTTCCAGTCGTATCTGTGGAGTACTGCTTTTTATTTTGTTTATTTTATTCATTTCTATTGTTTATCTTTTTCTTGTGGCATTCAAAATTATACATGATGCTATTGTACGCGTTAAATTAAACAAAACAAAAACTGAAAAGGGGGAGTTACTTTTTTTGCCTTTTCCTACATATATATATATATATATATATATATATATATATATATATATATATATATATATATATATATATAATAAAACCGTTCCATAGAAAAATATTTTGTTTAGGGGAATAGCCCTGGTCATATACAGGTACATCCAGCCCAAGCAGGCGAGTAATTTTTTTGACTCCGGCAGCTATGCTTCCAAGATTGTCCTTATCTACTCTAACACTCTTCTCTATCCCTGCAGAAGAAAAGCAGCCCTGCTGCTACAACCACCATATTGAGGGGGGTGAGCAGTGTTAGCTTTCTTAAAACCACTGGGTTTAGAGTTTGTCCTTCGAGGCAGGAGGGTCTGTTAGACCAGTGTTTTTCAACCTTTTTTGAGCCAAGGCACACTTTTTTCACTGAAAAAATCTTGCGGCACACCTCCAGGAGAAAACGTAAAAATGTATACAGTACTAATGTAAAAATATATACTGTACATACTCTGTGTGATATATAAAGTATATCTTATCTTATCGTATAATGTATACAGTATACTCTGTAGCCTATATTCACAATATACAGTTATTCTCATCAAAATGCTTAAGTCCAGGCCTTGACATTAAGCTTTATTTAATATTTCTCGATACAATTAACAAGAGTTTGGGAATAAAGTGGCACTAACTGTGTGGAAAAAACTAAGAAAATCCACTCTCTGCCCAAATAGTCAAATAACTCACACAAAGAACATGCATTGTTAGTGCATGGGAAAAATGTAGGTATCCGAGCTTTAAATTCAGGAGTTTTGGATGAGGGACACGGGAGGTCCTGAACGCGAGTCCATGGTTCTGTCCGGTCCGCATGTCTATGGTTCTGTCCGGTCCGCATGTCTGTGGTTCTGTCCACTCGACTATGGTCTGCGCTCGGTACCCAGTTCAGAAGTGCGTTCGCGATTGTACATTTCATAGTTAAACCACTACAACGCGGCCACAGCTGCCCCGGGGCAGAGCGGAGGATGTTAATCCTGTTCAGAAACGGCATAATTCATTTTCAAAAACGTCTCTATCACTTTCACTTCTCACTCGCCACAAAGCTCTTGTCTCGCTCCCTCACACATTTGTTGGTCGCATCCAATTTTACCTTTCTCGCCACAATGCTGACCTGTAGCCAGTGGTCGCATCCAATTTTTCAGTTTCAAAGTACTTAGCTATCTGCTGCCATCTACTGATTTGAAAAAGTATTACATGGTTACTCCACAGTTCAAAACAAGTCACCGCTCGTCAACAGCGAATGCAGTTATTTTTAGACAAAGTAGACGAATTTCTCACGGCACACCAGACAATATCATACGGCACACTAGTGTGCCGCGGCACAGTGGTTGAAAAACACTGTGTTAGACTGTTGGTGGTCTACCAAGAAGGACTGTGGTGATGATCCAGGACACTCTAACATTCTGCAACATTTATGGACCTTTATCAACATTCATTGGCTTTTTTCAACTCCATATGGAACATATTTTTTGTGTCTTAACTGACTAATGTCAGAATGTGCAATATAGAACCACATGTGTCACTGTCACTTTACTGAGTCTGTTTCCCAGAGCCTCATGCTGCGAATCTACAAATGTATACATACACTGCTGCTGACATGTACTGCTGCTAACATGTACAGATGTAAAAATACTTAACATGTACAGATGTAAAAATACTTAACATGTACAGATGTAAAAATACTGCTGCTAACATGAACAGATGTAAAAATACTGCGTCAGCCATCTTCCAGTGTGTGTGTGAGTGAATGTGCTGAGCTTTTGTCCTGTTTTTTTGGTTTTTTTGTTTTCTTTTTGTTTTGTTTAATGTAATAATTTTGTTTTGCATATAATTGACTGTTGCTGCTGTACTGTTATTTTTGAATCTGTTTTTGAGGACCCCCTCGGAAACGAGATGTTTCATCTCAAGGGGTTATTCCTCTTAATAAAAAATGTTAAATAAAAATACTGCTGCTAACATGTACAGATGTAAACATACTGCTGCTAACATGTACAGATGTAAACATACAACTACATATGGCTTGCACTATAATGAACAGTACTTTATACTTCTTATTATGCCAAATGTAGAGATTTGTTTTACTATAATGTTAAAAATAGAGATCATACTTGTTTCTTTCATGCTAGAGTTAGAGATTTTAATTTATTTTAATTAGTATAACTATTGTTAATTTATATTGTGTTGTGTGTTCTTCATTCCTACTGTTCTGTAACTTGTGATGCAACACTGAAATTCCCCCACTGTGGGACGAATAAAGGATCTCTTCATCTTAATCTGACATTGTCACACATACTTTCAATATATTTTGATGCGTTCTTTAATAATGACAGGGAAGCACAATACGCGGGAGTACGATTTTATACTTCGTGAGGAATGGAATTTTATTTTGCCATTTGTTTTAGTGTAATTGAGAACCACTGCTCATGGATCTAATAGCTGCGTCCCTGCCCTTTACAACCCTCCACCGCACTCCCCCTAGCGGCTCTATTGCTCAGCAGGACAGCGGTGGCAGAGGTTCTTCTGTCGGGGCTTGTCTCCTCCTTCCACTGCGCCTCCATGCAGCCGAATGGAAGCCGCGGAGGAGCATGGCCAGCCCCTGCGTCGCCTCTACGCCCCGACAATAGGTGACCACCGCACACATACGTTTATATTCCTGCCTTATTTACTTGCATTTGCACTCTGTGTTTGGCGATGGCGCTTGACAGACCTACAGCCTGTTCTTTCGTGCAAGTAGCCGAGGCGATGCTAGCCCCGTTAGCATTAGCAATCTTCCCAAAATTCGTAGCGTAAATAAAGTGAAACCATCGCGGCACTTTCGTCAAATTAGCATTGCTCACAAAACGCTGTCGAAAAATAATGTCTTGTGTTAAGAGATGTTGTTTTTTTTCACGCAGATGCCGATTTCTAAGCAAAAGCAGCTGTTAAAAACTATTCGCAATTTATGTATTATTAATATTTTTCTTCTATCTACGAGCCTATGCAGTCACCCGGTTGTAAACAAGGCTTTGCTACAGGCTACTGGAGGTTGCAGTGTTTTCATATTTACAGTCTATGGTTGTTATGTGCGTTGTAACATCTGCAGGGGAACGAGAAATAGGGCTCGAACAATACATTGGTTCGTTTATATTAGCGTAGTGCTTTAATGTGTCGTTTAATATGCATTTGGTTCCAGTATGTGTGTTTTTAACAATGTTATAATGGAGCAAACGTAGAATATTAATAATATAATCACACTTTTTGCGTGAAGTAAATGTCTTGCTCGCAAACTAGACTATTAGGCGATATTGCATACGCTCATAAATATCTATCTATCTAACTAGGCACTTTCTAGTTGAAAAATGAGTTGGTAAAACATTGGGAAGCTCAGGCACATTGTCTGTGGAAACTTGAAACCATTTATATTATGAAAGTCTAAAGCCCTACAGTCGGATCAATAATGATGATGCATTAAGAATGGAAGCGCTATTGATGTTTATAATGTATGTAAAATAATGGACCAAATGCTGTTTAGAAAATGATTCTTCTCACAGACATTTGTACATTAGTTAAACAATTATGTCTATTATTTTTGAAGTGTTTTTTTAAATTATGAAATGTACTGCAATCTAGAGAGACCCTGAAAGTGACAGTTATCTAACTAGTTAATTAGTTGTTTTATACTTCTATAAATGTGTTATGAAAGGTTATTTCAAGACTCAAACGGACCAAAAAATAATTAAGAATTGTGCCATGTCTTGTATTTAATGATGAAAAAAAAATCTATTGTCTTTTTTTATATGGGGGCTTCACTTCAGTTTTATTGGGGTCATAGCTATAATTTCTCCTTTATTGCAACAACAATGTACAAAGATACAATTTGAGGTCCAAAATATATTGTCATATCCAACGCTAAATTGCTAATAATTATTGTGACAGGTAATTGATACAATTTGTGCAATTTTAACTCCACTATAGTTTGGTTTAGAATGCAAAGGAGACAAAATGTTTATTGAATATTATAAAATCAGGATCATGTCCAAGATACTATGTTATTGAGGAGTGTAGTATTTAGAGGGGGAAAAAAAATAATAGAATTTTTTCTGATAGGCATGGTGCTTTCATGTTTTAATGATTGGAATCAGCTCAAAGACTGAAATCTTGATACTAATTGCTTAAATAATTACAGCCATGGCGTTTTACTCAGCATGGTTGAATATCAACTCGATTGTGATTAATCTTGCACCTAGTGTCATTACCAGATACATCCTATAGAACTTGATCTGAGCAAGGAACATTTCTAAATTCTCCAGTCTAAACACCATAGTCTGGGTTCTTTGACTGACTTGCTGCGTGGGCTTGACAAACTGAAACACTCTTACCGTTGTAACTGATCCTGACGTATTGATCTTTCTGTCTCAGGTGGTGATCGGCACAAAAGTCCTCCACGCCTGCCATGCCTTACCCCCTTCCTGACCAATGAGGCCCCAGCGGGACCCATGTTTACCCACTTTTGCCAAAACGTAGCCACATAGCTGCTCCTTTTTTGTTTTGTTTTATTATTTTGTTTTTCACACCGGCTTGTCTCCTTCTTATCATGAGATTCCGAATTTACAAGCGGAAGGTGGTGATCGTGGCTTTGGTGGTGGTCATTTGCGGGCTCGCCTTTTGGAGCAGCGGCCGGCAGAAGAAAAGCGATATTGCCTTGTTTTCTAAAGATGTTGAAGTAGTTCGAAGGAGCAATATTGGTAGTAGTACTAGCAGCGGTAGTAGTAGTAGCGCCAAGAACGTTATTAATCCTGTTCAAGCTACGCAAACTGCCAGCAAATTGCCTGCCGCGCTTCCAGTTGCGCAGAATGACACGCATACGGAGAAGGAAGAAAGGTTGCCCAAAGCAGACAACTTAGCCAAGCCAGATTTGGATAACACCACGTTAGTCTATCGGAGTATTGTGTTCCAGCTCAACTTTGATCAGGTTATTAGAAACGAGGAGAAATTCAAGGCAACACGTCAAAAAGATGACCTCGTCGTGGTGGTGCAAGTCCACAACCGCCCGGACTATCTAAAACTGCTAGTGGACAGTTTACGCAAAGCCAGAGGAGTGGAAGGTTTACTGCTAATATTCAGCCACGATTTCTGGTCGCCCGAGATCAACCAAGTGGTTTCGTCGGTGGATTTTTGCCAAGTTTTGCAGATTTTCTTTCCGTTCAGCATCCAACTGTACCCGCACGAGTTCCCCGGGCACGACCCCAGGGACTGCCCACGTGACATACCCAAGAAAGAAGCCTTAAAAGCGGGGTGCATCAACGCGGAATACCCGGATTCTTTCGGGCACTACCGCGAGGCGAAATTCTCCCAGACAAAACATCACTGGTGGTGGAAGCTGCATTTCGTGTGGGATAGAATTCATGCGCTCAAAGACCACAAAGGATTGGTGTTGTTGATCGAAGAGGACCACTATCTTTCGGCAGATTTCATCCACTTGTTGAAGCTTATGTCTGCGTTGAAAAGAGAGCAGTGCCCAGATTGCGACATCCTTTCGCTGGGAAGCTACAGCCACATCGGATACTCGAGCAAAGCCAACAAAGTGGAAGTTAAACCCTGGAAGTCGACGGAGCACAACATGGGGATGGCTTTAAGCAGGGAGACTTATCAAAAACTAATTAAATGCACGGGCACTTTTTGCACTTACGACGACTACAACTGGGACTGGAGTCTGCAGCACTTGACCGTATCCTGCCTGCCGTCTTATTGGAAAGTCATGGTCAGTGAGGCTCCGCGGATTTTCCACGCCGGAGACTGCGGAATGCACCACAAGAAGACCGCGTGCATGCCCATAAGCCAGAAGACAAAGATCGAGAACATCCTCCAGAGCAGTGGGAATCAGCTCTTTCCCAAAAACCTGCTGATCACAAAAAGACTTCCGGCCAACGGCGCGGGGGGCGTGGCACCGCACGTGAAGAACGGAGGCTGGGGGGACATCAGGGATCACGAACTGTGCAAAAGTTACGTTCGGTTACAATGACCTTGTTCTTGTTCTTATACTTGCTTATGTTTCAAGATCGCTGCACATGTAGGGGTCCATGCGGGGTACAATGACTTGCGTTTGGGAGCAGATTTGAGAATTTCAGTTAAACATCCTAAAATTGTTTTTTCAGATGTTTTTTGCCTGTCTGTTTCAATTTGGTTTAAGGTTATGATTAATAAAACAATATATGCAATGGGGAGATCGAGTGACACTTATAATTTATTTTATTTTATTTTATTTATTTTATTTGCTGCGGCTGTAAAGTACCAAATTGTCGTTGCAAGACACTTAACCCACATTGCCTAGAATGAGTTTGGTGCGTGCGTGAATGGTTGGTGGCGGTGATGGGAGGGGGCGTTGGCACATTCTGGTTTCCTCGCAGTTGTGGCTGCCCTGGGGTAGTTTACCACAAGCATGTATGTAGTGCAAGAATAATAATAAACGTCCAAAGAGATGCTATATAAAAACGATGTATTATTGTTATTATTAATTACATCTAGTACCATAAAAAACAATTAGTTTTTCCCTTCTACTTAAATACCTAAAATAATGAATACTTGTTAATAATTTTATTTCAAGTTCCATTCCTTAGAAGAAAAAAAAGTCCCTTATAAGGCAGATGTCTTGATCACCTTCTTTCATTGTTCCATTACAAAATGTACTAACAATGTCATTGAATAATTCGCTCATTACTTTTTAACGACGAAACTCACTCCAAAGAAAACATGGAGTGAGTTTGCATTTTACACCTGCCAGAAGTAAAATGCAAGAAAAGCTCCACATCCTTAAAAGGCTCCTCTAGTGGTGGAAGTGGGTAGTGACATTCTCCTTTCATAATAAGCATCTGTCTGAATGCACATTATATTCATGTATTTTTGATCTTCTAACCATGTTTCAACAGTAACTGTCCTGAAGTTGTTTTTAGCTCCACCCATGCTGATATCAACAACCTATCCATTAGCCATGTTTCTCTGTCACCGTCCATGCAGAAGTGGTGACGATACTTTAAAAAACGTATAATGTATGATGTTAGCCAGTAGAAAGAAGTTTCAGGCATTATGATATGATTTGTGAATCTAATCATTATCAAAGGATGATCTGGGGAAATATTTTCTTTCAAATTTTGCTTCTTTCCCATATAGTGGTATCGTCAACTGCTGGAAATACTGAAACTCAATTCTACATCATAAACACAATCTATTACAGTTCCAAAGTTGCCAGACTTTTGTGAATTTGTAGGCTTTGTAAACGTACTCAAGCTCAAAAATAATACATTTTCATAAATCTTTTTATTTTTTTATGTTTTATTTAGTTTATTTCTATGGCCATGTTAGAACTTGCGTCACATGTTTCCAAAGATCAAATACATATTACAATATTGGGCTGTCAGGTTTTGAAAAATATTTAATATCCAAACACTTCTCTTTTACACATGGGCTTAATAAACAGACTGAAAATGAATTTTTTTTTTAAAAAAATTTCAGCTCTTTGATTGCACCCCACATGGACCGCGTTTGCAGTGCGCATTACTCTTTTGCATCCTCTATAAGAAAAGCCTTTTAAAGTTTATAACTGCTCTTATATTGCCTGTTTTATGCGGACTGTCCGAATAAAGATGAATGTTGAATTTTTTGCCATCTTTAACACAAATGTCTTTACACTGAAACTGAAGTGAATCCTGGCTGTGTTTTGTAACATGCAATTAACAATATTATACTAAACCCAAAGCATGTGTGTGTTTTCTCACGCAGTAAAGTGATTTTTTTAGACTGCAGGGATGGGGGGAATACGGAACATTTCAAAATAGCAACAATAATATTGGCCGTTGGAAGAATCGTGGGAATTGTCTTATTTGGCCGAATACATTATCCTGCGGTACCGATATTACTGTTTAATTATTATTATTTATCTGTGTCTGATATGATTGAACAATGAAATATGAAACCTATATGCTGTCCCTATTTCAGATGTCATTTCCCACTTTTGCACACGTTCTTGGTGACATCACATTAGGGCAGAGGTTCCCAAAGAGGGGCCGCTACTATTTGCAGTGGTCCCCCAAAGGATTCTGAAATTGCAGCATTGATATTAAGACGTTTCTATGGTCTACCATGGTATTTTGTATATCATCATTTTTCTCAAGACAACAATAATATTTGATTAATTATGAACATTGAACCCACAATACAATTGAGTAAATGCAAACAAATCTTTTTTAAACTTTGGTATATTTTTGGCTCAATACAAACAGAACTGATCTCACTTTATTCTGAAAAATCTATAAAAGAAACTAAAATATCTAAAACTAAACTCATGTTAAATGATGGTAAAAAAAATGCCTCCATCATATAAAACAAATTAAATTATATAAGAAGTATGCTAAGTATGAGCTACATACAAACATTATTTTGAATTTTTACAGCAAATTATTTAAAAACTTGTCAAAAGAGACAAACAGATAAAGCAAAGATCTGAAGTAGCTCCACAGGTTTTATGTACCAAAAAACCCCTTTGAACAGGTAGCAGAAGCAACAACACTGCTTCTCTGACTCTTGTAAGCCAGCTGTCCTGGGGCAGATTGGCCTTTGCTCACTCATCAGATATACTCCAGCATGTTTGGAGTGAAGAGGAAACCGGAGCGTCAGGAGGAAACCTACCTAGACATGGGCAGAACTGGTGAATTTACAGAGACATAGGCAGAACATGCAAACTTCACACAGACAGGCTCGGATGGAACCACACTGTAAGTAAGTAAGTAATGTTTATTTATATACCGCCTTTTCACAGACAAGGGTCACAAAGCGGTTTACAATTGTTATTATTTTTTTGGGCAATTGTCCTCTCACTCCACACAGAGATGGGAACAGGAGGCGCATGCCAGATCTATTGTACATATTTTTATTGGTAGGGGAAACCGGAGGAAACCTACGCAGACACGGGGAGAACATGCAAACTCCACTCAGAAAGGCCCTGGTCCGACCGGGATTCGAACCCAGGACTTTCTTGCTGAGAGGCGAAAGTGCTATCCACTCAGCCACCGTGCCACCCACACAAGGCCTGTGAGGTACTAAGCAAGAACTGGTCTAAGGTCTGGTCCTGATCCAGTCCTTGTCTTTCGTTGACACAATTCTATCTCGTTATCTCGCTCTGGGCAGTTAGTAATTAACAAAAGACATTTATATTAGTCTCATTACAACACGACTCCACCTTTGTCCCTCCTGAAGCCCCTATGGCAGCTTGGACTGCCCATTTTAATGATTAAAGCTGGGGAACCTAACTTTTAAAAGAAAACAATGTAACTATAATAAACTATGTATCTGTATTAGTTCTTGGCTCTAGCTTTGGCTCTAGCTTTTACAGACAAAAAAGTGGAAAAGAGAGGACCACCTTTACTCAGCCAATCAGCTCAGCCCAAACAGTCAAGTAGTAACTCATGGGGATTATTTAATTAAGTATGCAAATATAATATTCATAATGATCTAGTAGCATGAAGAGAGACAGACTCCTATACGTTTTTTGGTGGGGACAAACAACTTTTTTAATTTATGGTTAAAAAAAACAGGAACCCCAGATTTAAAGGAAACTATAAAATGCCATTTTAAACTTTTATCCATAATACATTGTCACTCATCAGTCACACACCTGCAGCTGTTTTTAGATCCATCCACGTTAATATCAGGAACCTCTAGCCACAAACCTAGAACTCCGCCCCCTTCTGTCTAAAAAGTTCCTGTAATAGTATGATGTCATTTTACCGCTATAACGGTCAATCCCAAAACAATTTCAACTCCTTCATCTGATGATTGCTTTGGGAGTTATATCAGCAATTCTAAAAAAAGAAAGACAAGTGAAACATGAATAGTCTCACTATCAATTTCAATGGCCAAAATAATGCATCATATTTTACTCTATGATTGTTCAAATTTGACTCAAAATCTGGCCTGTTTGATATACACAACTCTACTATACTACATTTCACATTTCTAAAACATTGAAAAGCCATAATTATTCTTTAAATCCCTGAGATACTATTTAACAATGGTCTCAAAACAATAGTCTAATGGTGACTTTTAATTTAATTTTGCTCATTTAAAATATGAAATTGACAAAAACAACACACTAATCTATAAGTGAGCTACAGTCTAACTTCCTGGTCATGGATGTGTTATAATATCTAGATGTTATATGGATGTTATATGGCAGCGGATGACCAGACTGATTACAAGTCTGTTACAAGTCTGCTCCATTTAAAGAGCGACTAAACACCTGTGCCCAGCCTTACTCCGCCCACATGAAGATTTGAAAATGTTCTCTAAAAAGGGCGTTGCCTGGAGGACCAAGGGACAAGAAGGGGGGCTTAGAGTTGGGCGTGGTCTGGGCTGTGATTGACAGCTCACTTGTCACACAAAAAAAAAAGACAGTTGTCATTGCTGCTTAAAGCAATAGTTTACAGACCAGAAAGTCTCATTCCACCCTTGTTTACACACTAAGATAATTGTAAAGCTACACACCTGAACCTAATCACACTCAATAATCTCAGAATGACTCGTGTAATTTAATTTTAATCCACTAGATGGCGCCAGAATACTCCAAACTGCAGCTTGGGCGTGTGTGAGAGTTGAATGGGTTCACATCACTGGCTCTGACAGACTGACGTCACACAAAACAACTGATGTCATAGAGAACTTCAGAGTCAATGGAGAGGCCAGAACCAAATTCAAATGTAGTACCACCAGAAAGGTTGAGAGGGCGCCACACAGACGTTTTTTGGCTCAAAAGTGATATTTTATCTAATTTGAACTAAAATGTCAAAAAAATGACCAGGATATGTAGACAGCACTACAATAAACATACTTATGCAGTTTATGAGTTAAAAAAAGTTGATTTGGTGTTTAGTCGCTCTTTAAAGAGCTCAGGCTGCGATCAATACCTCCCGACACAGTTCACTTCTCCTGCTGAGAGCAAACATCATGAGGAAAACAACTGAGCTGTATTTA